GGTAGAAGAGCAGCACGGCCCCGCGCAGCTCTCCCAGCGACCGGCCCACCTCGGCCTGGAAAGCCAGCTTGAACCACAGCTTCGCCTGCGTCTCCCACTTCACTGGAAAGAAGAAAGCAGAGGGCATGAAACCTCCCCATCTGGTGGCTTCTGAGGGGTACAGGGAGAGAGGAAGGAGCTTTGGGGCCCAGCATCAGTCCCAGGTGGTAACCAGAGCATGCAGGACGGGAGTCGATGGGATACAGCAAAGCCCTTTTTCTGGTTTGAGGGAGGTGGCCAGCAGAGCAAGCCCTTGCAGCCAGCAATTCTGGCAAATTTTGGTGGGCAGTTCCCCATGGAAATCTCCTTTGGCAGCTCAGGGACATTGTGGCCGTTGGATCGAGGCCAGCAGCACTGCCTGGGGAAAAGCTGCTTCCCAGCTGTCCAGCACCAGCGAGTTCAGCTGAAAATCCAAAATGCGGGAGGGGAGGAGGAGATTGTAAGAAAAGAGACGGCACCATGACCCTCTTGCTACACAGGATTAAAACCAAGGGTTTGCCAGAGTGCTCTCCCTTGGCACTTACCACCAGGCTCATACTACAGCAGGACCAGCTGGGTCTATTCTTCTGAAACCCTCCTCTCTTTTCCCAATCAGAATGAGTGGGGATGGGATTAAGGCAGAAAGAGAGAAACGCTCATAATCTCGAAAGCAGAGCAGAAGCCGCTGAGGCTGCGGCACTTGGGTGTTAGTCGCAGGCAGGGACGAGGCACCCTGTCACACGTCAGCTGCCATCACTACTAAAGCTACAGCTGCTTCAAAATGTACCCGGAAAGACATTTTACCGTACTGCTCTGCTAATTGTCAATGTAACCCCACCCGCAAATTTAATTGCGTGTCTAACTCTCTGATTTAGGGCAAGGAGAAGACATCGGCACCAACCTTGCTCCAGGTGCAGCACGAGGACACGGTCCTGCCCCGGCTCCACCACGTGCGCCTGGATGTGCTTCAGGGGATGAAGAGCAGCACCCATGCCACCAGCTGGGCAGAGCCCGAAGGTCTCGAGAGAGCTCCTGTCCCAGCTGGTGTGTTGTCTCAGCAGCTTGATGAAGGCGCTTTCATACTGGGTGAGCACACCCACAACATCCAGGTGCCTCAGGGTCAGCCCATCCTGGTCCATTTTCACCCTGCAGACGGGCCCTTCCAGCCCCCCAAGAGGCCATGGGTGCAGGCTAGAGCCAGGCCAGCCAATACCCCCATCCTCCCCTATCCCCTGCATGCATTTGGCTCCTGGCTCAGGCTTAGCGAAGAGGCGAGCGGCAGCAGTCACCCTGGGTCTTGCGGCTGAGTTGGGTCTCCCTCTTTCCTGCAAACTTGCATTTTCTCTCTTTCTCTCCTCTGCTTCAAGTCCCAGCTCCTCTGACGGTCTCAGCTCCAGTTGCTTCTTTGGGGAAATCCTTTCCCCCATGCTCCCCCTTCTTGTGAGCGCTGCAGTGGGAAGCACCAGCACCAGGCATGGCAAAAGCACCCTAAAAGCAGCCTTCATGTTCCCACTTCAGCTCTACCCAAGTAGCTCCCTGCTCCCGCTGCAGCCACTCGAGCCACTCACTTGCACCTCAAAACAGTCAGGTGGGAGGGGAGGACGACATCTCCCTTTTAAAAACCAGTGGCCTTGAGTTGACAACACACAACACACCTCCCCAGAGCAATTCGAAGGCTGCTGTGCTGGAGAGGAGGGAGGGATGCTTCAGAGAAACTTTTTTTGTTCTATTTTTGGGTTTGAAACAAGTATTGGAAACGTAAAACAAGTAAAGCTGTTTCCCTTACTTGTAGGGATGCATGTCCTTGACTTCAGATGTTTTCTAAAGGAGGATGGATGTCTAGACCTAGAGCTCCATGGGGACTGGCACGTTCTATTCCCATCAGCGGTGCAACACCATGAAGGGAGAATTAAGCCGACGAGGAGGGGGATAAAAAGATAACAGGCAGACACTGAGTGAAGGTATGAAAAGTGTCCTCCTCTCTCCACTGGAAAAGTGCCCCCATGGCTGGCATCTCCTTTGCTGAGACTCAGAGAGGCACAGGGGCTCTCATAGCATCTCCTGATTCCCAGGGTGCTTGGGCTTGGGAAGGGGAATCTCGCAGGGTGCAGCAGCACCTGATGACTGGGACACGTCAGACTTGACTTCAAAAATCTCACAACTCACATATTATAAGGGCTTTTATCATAGAATAGTTTTGGTTGGAAAAGGACTTTAAGATCAAATCCAACCATCGATCCAGCCCTAAGTCTGCCACCAGACCACATCCCTAAGCACAACATCCACTTTCCCTTTATGAGACACCAATACTCACTGTAGCACTTGGAATTGCCAATGCCACCTACCTAAACCACCCCAGAGGTATGTCCTTGGCAGGGGAAGTGTACCCACAGAAAATCTCCAACGCGTGTTCAGATCCTTTGGCTTTGCAGTTCGGAGCTCAGGATCTGGCTACAGCACAGCATAGATGTGCTGCACACCCGAACCAAAGAGGGACAAAGGGCTGGGGAAGGTGGACCTCTCCTACAGTGGGACACAAAGGACACGCACCTGGTAAAGGGGAGAACCCCCACAAGCTGGTCCAGGTATTGGGGCAGCTTGGCTTGAGACAAAGGATTAGGACTGAACAGGATCCACATCAGGGCAGCAGAAGAGGCGAAGGCTTTGGTTCCTTCATCAGACAGGCAGGAGCTGCAGGGGTAGAGGGACAGGGCAAGTCCAGGTCCCATCCAGGTCCCCACCAATGCCTTCACCCACTGAGCACCCCAACACCCCACACTGAGGAGCCTCAGGTTGGTGGAGTGAATCCTGGGGAGGACAGAGAGGAGAAATCTCAGTTCTCCTTTTTAACGGGAACCAAATACTTACTTGAAGGAAACATTTATTATAAATAAATCTGCAGAGGACTAAAAGCTCTCCAAAACTCATCTAGTAGTGGGATGGTGACTGCTTCTGGGCAGCCTCTTCTAGTGCTTGACAACCCTGTCAGTAAAGAAATTCTTCCTAATACCCAACCTAAACCACCCCTGGGCACAACTTGAGGCCATTACCCCTTGTCCTGTCACTGAAACAACCTCCCCCTCACTATCTCCTCCTTTCAGGAGCTGTAGAGGGTGATAAGTTCTCCCCTCAGCCTCCTCTTCTCCAGGCTGAACCCCCCCAAGCTCCCTCAGTTGCTCCCCATCATTCGTGTGCTCCAGACCCCTCCCCAGCTCTGTTGCCCTTCTCTGGCCACGCTCCAGCCCTTCAATGCCCTTCTTGGAGTGAGGGGCCCAGAACTGAGCACAGGATTTGAGGTGCAGCCTCACCAGTGCGAAGTACAATCACTTCCCTGGTCCTGCTGGCCACACTATTTCTGACACAAGCCAGGATGCCATTGGCCTTTTTGGCCACATTTCCAGTCTTATCCCTTCTCTTTGGAGAATTTCCAACATGTAACCAGACTGGGAATGGTTTACGTATCTAAAGGCTAAAGAAAGTGGACACATAGCAACATTTGCAACTAAAATACAGAAAAACAGAGAGAAAGGAAAATTGAAAACCTTTTAATGAACCTACAGGATTCAATTAGATTCACAGGCATACAAAACAGAACTATTTCTCTGAATTAGTCGTGATCTGGATATAAAAAGACAGGAGCTAGGGGAGAACAGTGGGACCCAGTCCAGGAAGGGCTTCAGTTGGAGGGAGGTGGAGGGGGAATGGTGCCAGGCCCCTCCGTGGGCAGAGGTGGCCTCATCATGGGGGGCAGAGGAGCAGGGGGTGGGACACCGGGTGCTGGTGGCAACTGGGGTGGCACCGGAGGCGGTGGCACGGGTCCAGAGGGAGGCATAGGAGGCAGAGTCATGCCTCCTGGCGGAGGAGGGGGCATGGAGTCCGGCAGAGGAGGCCTTGGTGGCAAACCGTTCATCAGTGGAGGTGGAGGCGGCCGCTTCACAGTAGGTGGCCCTGGAGGGAGGTTTGGCGGAGCTGGGGGCTTCTCCATCTTGAAGTGGAATTGAAGGAAGAACTGGGGAGAGGAGAAAAGCAAAGAGAAGGGAACAATTAATCCTTGGGATAACTTAGTGCCACCAGGAACAGAGCTTGGCTCTCTCCTGACCCATTACCTCCATGGCCCACAGCTGCCTCCCCAGCCTGGCAGCACTCACGACTCGCACCAGCCCTGTCCAGTATGCTAACTCCTCCGCGTTACACCCTAAGCTGTCTGGGACGGGGTCAGTATTCCCCACGTTGCATTCATCCCCTGGTCTGACATGTGGTACCCAGTGAGTACATCCACGCTGGGTGCAGGAAACACAGCGAGGAGCCTCAGAGGCGGCATGGTGCTGCGTGGCTATGCACCACTCTGCTGCTGACGGCAGCCTTTGCTCAGAGGATTAAACTCTCACAACGAGCACACAGGGGAAGATCTTTCTGTCAGGAGCCACTGCACAGTTGCATTGAAGGAATGAAGATTTTAGTATCAGCATGGGTACCACCAGTGTGCACTCTTCCTCTTCCTTCCCACTGCTCTGCCCTCCTGCTTCCTCTGTAACCCATCAGAAAGACATGGCAGCGCTCCAGGTACCTGCTTGGTTTCCCTGTTCCAGTGGGTCCAAAACTTTCCTTCTGCTTTGTCGATTTCTCTGCTTGGTACCTGCAACAAAAAAAAGAAGAAGGAGTTATTATTAGCTCCACCAGATTAGCTCAATGGCCCTTTTTAGCACCAGAGCCCTCAAGATAAGTGCAGTTATTCCAAGCCTTTGTGAGACGCGCTGGTCTCGGATGTTATTAGATAGAGATGGGGGCAGGAAAGAATTAAGTTACTTCCCTATCAGTCAAGGACAAGTGTGCTGGCAAAAAACCCTCTCTCAACATCTGCACAAAGGCTGAGGAGCAAAGCCCAGAAAGCTCCTTTCTGTGCCAGACACCGAGAGCTCAATGGCTCCCCAGAGCTCAGCTCCCAGCCTAGTTTTCATGCCAGAGTCCTCCACTAATCCTCAGCAGGGTTTAATGACTTCCAGCCATGTCTTCCCAAGACCCCTTTCCACTCTGTTAACCCCCTGAAGGCTAGAACAGAAGTTTATAACCACACTCACTGGGAAAGGAACTTTCCTAACAGTTAATCCCAAATCTTACCTTGAATGCGATGGTCTCGTAGGGCTCTGCTGCCATCAGAAGGTATTGCCAGCGTCTATCGGGGGGCTCAATCCTCTGCTCATAGGCTGACATGAACCGATGTCGAGGCATGATACTTTCCGCAATCTCTGGGTAATCAATCTGTTCAGAAGTGATTGCAGCGTTTAGGAGAACGTCTCCCCTTTCACTCCCTCTTCGTACAAACAAATCAATCAGCTATGAACCGTATCGGGAGATCAGCCCCAAACAGAAAAATTAGTGCCACCGAAGGAAACAGCTGGACAACTGCCATCGTGGATTTGCTCGATGCAGTCTGCAGCAGAGGACTAGCGAGGTGAAGCCTTTTTTTTATTATTAATTTCAATAATCCTGCATGGAACTGCTCATTTAGCAGCATTTTCACTTGGATAACCCAAACACCAAGGATTTTAAAGGTGCTCTTACCTGAAAGAGAAGGCTCTGCTGGCCTGTTTCTGGATCTCGCTGTTTGGTCACTGTAAAGAAAGCAAGAAAGCTCAGTTCATGACACAGCGGGGTTAAAGCAACATTATTTCTGCCCTAGGGAACACACAAAGCTTCAAACAACAAAGTATGACAAGATTTTTCTCCCGTTTATCAAACATAACACCACATTGTCTTAACTGAAGCTACTGAGGATCTCCACTGAAATCCAGCTGCTGTGGGGCAGAACAGAGCTGGGAGATAAGAAACCAAGTTGTGTCTTGAAGGCCAAGCCAAAACAATGGGGAGTTCAGAGAAAAAATGTGAGCCATACAAGCACTGAGTGATTTATGAGCATTAGTGAAAGATGGGACAGCACAATAAAAGGAGAGAGACTGAAACAATGTCATCATTTTCTGCACGGCTCTAATAAGAGCTGAAAGACTGAGACACACCTATCTATTATTAAAATGGTTCTCGTCTGTCAGCAATAAAGAGAGGTTCTGTGGGCAACTTAAACAAGAAAGGACGTCAGGAGATAAGCCCATATCTTATTCATGGCCAGATCTGCTAAAAAGGCTAATTAATAATTCACATCCACAGCACTGAGCTCCAGGGGAGCTCCAGCAGGCACTGGGTACGTGCCAGATGCCGACACACCTTTATAACCTGGTCGTCCAATTTTCACAAATTTCTTCACTTCCACCTTGACTTTTTCTGGTGCGGGCTGGGCAGGGGCTTCCTTAGCTTCCTTGGCAGCTCGACGGGCCCTGGATTAATGGGAGATTTAAGAGGTTGGCCACACCTGTTTCTAAAGAATACACCAGGAGCACTCTGAATCCTTTACCAGGGAACAGCTTTTCACAGAAAGCATGCCAGGAAAGGCTGTTTCTATTCCACACACCCCAGTACAGACCAGTTGTATCCATGCCTTCCCCTGACTAAA